TATTTTCTTTCTTATTGCTTTTGAATTCAGTATGCTAGGCTAAGTTTTTTTGTAGTTAGGGGTAGATGGAATCCAATCGAATCTTATGCTTTGAATTAAATTGTCTCTGAATTCTTTTCTTTTTATAATTGAATAAATTTATCTGTCTTTAATGCTTTCTATGAGTTTGCTCCTTATAGATTGATTTAGGAGAATTGTATGACAATAGGGATGTTCGTGCATGAACCCTGATTTAATAAATTTATCACAATCCTCGTGATCTAGGGATAGACATAAGGCAATTGTGCAATCTTTAAATTCTTGATCTTAATGCATGTTTTCTTAGGAAATAATCGGGGAACTAGAGTTCTTTCAAGATCACATAGATTTAGGGTAACAAGGAATTGAGCCCTAATTAACTTAGAAAGAATTGATTGGTATTATATTAAGAGCAGATTCTTGACAGTTTAATTCATAGCATATAGAGGAGATTGAGGGAAGTCAAAACCCTAACTACGCTTGTTTTTAATCTTTAAATCAATCATCTTTCCAATTGTTTTTTAATTCTGAATTTTAATTTGTATGTTATTAATTGTTTTTCAATCTCAATTCTCTTCATCTAAATATTGATTGTCCAACTAAACCGTGATTAACGAACTAGTGTTTGAAACTCAATCCTTGTGGGAACGATCTCGTACTCTGGTACACTTTATTACTTAATGACCGGTGCACTTGCCTAGTCGCAACACCTACCAGTCACTAAGACCGCCAGACACTGAGCCTCCCTTCTAGTCGCCAAGACTCCCAATGTCCATCAAATCGCCAAAGAGTCGCGTTTCCTGCTAACTTATCAAACCGTTGTTTTCCCCCAGGGCGTCCGAGCCAATCTATCTTGGCACCAAGCTACGCTTGCTACCAAGCTGGAGGGCTCCTGTTCCGGATGGCCCAACTCTATATGGCCCAATGACTTGAGCCCAAACCTCTTCCCTTCCTCCACGTCAGCCTTACCAAGCCTCCCTCCATCCAGCCCCCAAGGCGGCAGCACCCCCCAGGTGAGACAGTGAAATATCTCACCTTGGGATTCTAATCCCCTGGGAGACCGCCCCAAACACTATAAATAGTAACCCCCATCGTCATATACTGACATCGCCGAAGCAGGGGCTGCATGACTGCTATCATAGCAGTACCAGCCACCCACAACTGATCCCAAGGAGGGTTGACCCCCTCTCACCAACCCTCATAGGACATGCATCTTATTCCCCTATAAATACCTCTCCCCCACACACAAGAAGGGCATCATATGTATTGTTATTCTGCCCACAATCCTTGAGTCACATACACACATACCCCCCATTATCATCTGTTAGCATTCATACTTGGGATAGTGCCTCCTAGCTTGGTCTTTACCTGTGCTAGAGGTATAACCCATAAACTGACTTCATCCCTGAAGGGAACATAATGGGCTTATAGATCCCAACGATACACAACCTATTATGCACCGACACCAATACGGAACATAAGACACGACACGATACGACACGTTAATTCTAAAAAATGTTAAATTTGAATACATTAGGATATGTTTTGATATTAAATAAAATTTTTAATATATATAATATAATTTATATTTAATACATATAGCAGTGCATAATAAGTCATATAACCAATTAAATATTCAAATTTCATAACATAAATGTAAAGCAAAATTTTTTCATATCTTTAATTTTTCATGTCAAATTTCATAATAGAAAATATTTGATTTATAAATTAATTTTTCATATTTAGTTAAAAAGATAAAATAAAATAAAATTTGGATTAAAAAAATGTGACGAAAAATGTTGACCGCATATTGGAAAACATTGACCGTTGTCGGATACATGTCGAAACATTAATCGCGTGTCGAAAAAAAAAATTTGATTGCGTGACAGACGCGTGTCGCTACTCTCGCTACTCGACACATATTTTTCTAAAAAATATCCGAGTCCCTGCTTCTTAGGTTTCAGCTCATAAAGATCAGGATCATCCTTAAATTCTGCAAGAAACAGGAAAGCATATGTAAAGTTCATAAATTAGAGCTGAAATTCATAAAGTCAAGTTCAAGCACAATAACAGTCCGGACTCCAGAGATACTGGACAAGTCAAGTTTGGCCCATCTGTTTTAGGTATACCCAAAACATTTTAGATAGTTTAAAGTTCACACAAAGTAATTCCAGACTTCACTCTAGGTTGTGCGTAAGATTCATGTAAAGGCTTACATATGCTGATATGCTCTGATGAATTTATAAAGAGGCTGCAGTAGAATGGATACTGAAATAATGGATATGCTAGTAATCTTAAGATTATATTATTTGGCCCGTGAATAAATACTAAAAACTAAAACCTGTGAGAGTACCATTTCACTTTCTTTTTTTGGTCTAATCAAATTCCCCTAGCCCACTAGAACTTTAGAAAAATCAAGAACATAATTTCTTATAACATTACATAATCTGAAAACTCCACATGTGCAACCAATACAAGTTAAATTAGCTGCTTCAGTGCAAGTTTTAACTCAAGCTCAGATGACAAAGCCTAAAATGCATGCAAGTTATTTCACTTTTCTTTACCACCCAATCAGTGTTTTGGAGCTTATTTCTAGATTCAAATGATGGATATCACCTTCTTATAAACATACCCACATAAGTCTACATGTGTTATCAATACATGGAATCTTCCACTTTCCCTTGTAGTTTTATGACAAAGTAAGACTTCTACCAATAATAGTGAATCATCTTAATATCCAAATACATGTTAACTATTGACATTTTTTTAATTCTTCATATATGGGGCTAATTGAGACATCCATTATTGATTCTTTCTTGTGATTGGAAATTTACCCACTTCTCTAATCTTGAGTTACATTTAGTGAGGTTAGTTTTAAGTTGCATATTTTTACAAGCGGTATGAGAGTCATTACTACTGCATATAACCTTGTATATCGCTGCAATACTATTGTGAAATAGATTTTTCTCGTATCAATTAGTAACTTATCTGAGTTAAACAAAAGATTTACTAGAGTAAGTCCAGTTTTTATCAAAGAACATATTTTTTGATCTAGTAAGCTTCCTAGCATGAATTGGTTGAGCTGTTTTAGATTTGTTATATTACGAATCAATGATTATTGTATTAGCTATATCCACAATCTGATTTGATTATTGTCGTGTGGTAAAATTTATTCTGGACCTTGTAAAATTGCGTAATTATTTACATGAACAGGTTGCCCTAAATTGATAAAGTTTATTTCATAATTATAGTGGTTGCATCTGCATTGTAAAAAGAGGGAAATGAATTCTGCCTTGCTGGGCTGTTTAGATGTGTGGCATAATGCATAATCTTTTACAACCATTTCGATGTTAGTATGATAAATGCTCTGTCATCGACAAACTTTGATTCCCGCTTTACTATCATATGAGCACAAAGAAGACAACTCCATCAACTTCACAACACTTGACAAACAACACCGCCAATCCATCAAAAGAAGCCAAATGGCTTCAGGAAGAGTTTTAATGTATTTTTTATAGTAGTAAATCCCTTCGCAGCCATATCCAGATCAATATCGCGGATACAACCAGACTCAACGATACTCAGCTTGGTATGTAAACGTAACCAATAATTCCTCTTTCTCAATCCTCAATTCTGTTATTAATATAAGACCCTTGAAGCATTTCATTCTCCTTTGCCATTTAAGCAACTCAATAATAGAACCCAACATGGTTGCTTCAACACACTGTCCCGGTTTTGTTCAAGTCCTCGATTGAGAGTGTCATCATTTGATTATAGAAAGTGTCCTACTTTTTTTTCTTACAAAGAGGGACCAATGGTCACTACACTAGGGAAACACTCACTTAAGTCATATAGTAGTAACTAGGGGTGTTAACGGGTCGAGCCGAGCCGAGCTTTGATCTTAACGGGCCAAGCCTGTATTTAAACGTGTCAGACTGGCCTTAGCCTGTTAACTGTTATGAATATAATATTAGCTTGTGGCCTGGTTCGTTTACAAAAAAAAAGCATGTCTCAAGCCTGTGGCCTATTTATTTATTAAAAGTAAAAATCTTACCTTCCAATTTGTAGCAGTATTTAGCTCATTAATCATGCACTGATATGTATTTTTTTTGTAAGAAAATAATAGTTGTTTCTTTTATAATAAAAAAACATTAATATTAAAAAATCAAAATAACAACATCATCTTTACTTTATTTTACGTTGCTTTTCCTTAATTTTCTTCCACATTCTAGATTTTTTACATTAAATTTTCTTCCACATTCCTTAATATTCTAGATTTTTTACACTAGATTTGAACCCCATCAATAAATTTTCTTCCATATTTGATATTAAATTTTCTTCCACGGTCGCCGCCATAAGCATCATTATAAGTCGTGGAATCCGCATGGCTTATAAAAATAGATGATGAACATGACTTCATTTACCTGTTGGTGGGGCGATGACTTAGATCGGGGAGAAGAGATAGAGCAGAGACAGAAAACTGAGAAAAGGATGTTGAAATGATTAATATAAAAATATAAAAAATAAATAAATTTAATGTATACGGGCCAACCTCCAAGGCTTCAAGGCCGGGCTTGGCTATGGAAGCATGAGGCCTTTTAAATAAAAAGACTTTTGCATAAGTATAAGTCTGGGCTTAATAATAAAAAAAGACGAGCCGAGCCGAGCCGAGCCGAAACGGGCCTGGCCTAAGGCCCCTGGCCTAAGGCCCCTGGCCTTATTATCACCCCTAGTAGTAACCTTCCACGCATCAGCGGTGGATGATACACTACAAGTAGAGTAACTGAATAACAACACGTAACCAATTACTTATTTCTCAATCAATGCTGTCCATTACACAATTGTATCTATTTATACTCACATATGCTTTACATGTGTTTTCCTACTCAGCTATACTCAACACGTATCGGGTTATTACAAAGCCACTACCCACGTGTGGAACCTATACAATATGACTATATCAGTAACTATTCCTACATCTTCTACTGCATATAGTCTTTAGCCCAAGTTGGACATCCCTTCAATCTGATTCCACGTCTTGGAGCTCCCTTATCCCCTTCCTTCTTCGTATCAACAGCCTCCCCTAAAACAGTAACCTTGTCCTCAAGGTTGAGTTCAGGGTAAACCTGCTTCAACTCTCTCAGCTCCACCCAAGAAGCATCTTCAGGAACAATTGAAGACCATTGAACCAAACACTCTGTTATGAACCTTCCTCGAGCCTTTGTCTGTCTTGTAGCCAACACTGCAACCGGTTGTTGAATTGGCTTGTTGTCCATACTCGATACAGGGAGAGGCTCATAACTAACTTCAGCTTTACCAAAAAACGGTTTCAACAAGGAGACGTGGAAAGTAGGATGAATCATGCTACCTTTAGGTAATGTTAATAGATAAGCCACAGGGCTGATTACCTTTTCAACTGGAAATGGTCCAAAGTACCTTTTGGCAAGCTTATGATTAGCTCTCCTAGCTACTGACAACTGTCTGTAAGGTTGCAATTTTAGCAAAACCTTGTCTCCAACCTGAAACGTTCTCTCCTGTCTCTTCTTATCTGCATTATTTTTCATGCGTAACTGAGCTTGCTGCAGCTGAGTTTTCAATAGATTGAGAACTTGTTGACGTTGGAACAACATCATGTCAACGACCTCAACCTTTACTTCCCCTTTCTGATATTGGGGTACTAAGGTAGGTACCTTCCCATATAAAGCTTGAAACGGGGACATATTAATAGAAGAATGGACAGAGGTATTGTAATGTAACTCAGCCCAACACAACAATGTAAACCATTTATGATTCTATACTGAGCAAAATGCCCTGAGATACTGCTCCACATACCGATTGGTCACCTCACTCTGGCCATCCGATTGAGGGTGGTAAGCTGATGTAGCTTGCAATGTAGTACCACTCAATGTAAATAACTGACGCCAAAATTTACTCATGAAAATTGGGTCTCTGTCTGACACCAAGGATTTTGGAAATCCATGTAATTTAACTACCATGTTACAAAAAAGGTGAGCAACAGTGGCAGCTGTATAAGACGATGGTAAAGCTCCAAAATGGCCATATTTTGATAATCTATCCACAACAACCAAAACAGTGGTATAACCATTGGAACGTGGAAGAGAAGTAATAAAATCCAATGTGAGGTCATCAAACATTGCATCAAGAATTTGGAGTGGCTGTAACAATCCAAAAGGTAACTGTGTGGAGCTTTTAATTTGTTGACAAACCACACATTCTTTTACAAATTGCTTAACATCCTTTCTCATATTCTTCCATATGAATGAAGTAGAAAGACGTAAAAATGTTCGGTGCACACCTGCATGTCCTCCAAGCTGTGAACAGTTAGCCTCCATTAACAAAGTTTCCTTCAAAGCAGAATTTGATCCTAACAGGCATTTATTATTAAGAAAAAACATCCCATCCTTGCTGCACAATGCCTTATCTTGATGTGTTCCCTGCTCGAGTTCTTTGTGTAGTAACAATAACTCCTGATCAACTTTGTTTTCTGCCCGGATTTTCTCCCAAATATCCAAGGTTGGCTCTGAACGTAATGCATTAATAGTTGCAGTGTCCTCATCTGAGAATTGCCTTGAAAGGGCATCTGCAACTACATTTGATATGCCAGATTTGTACTCAATTGTGAAATTATAGCCCATCAACTTGTACACATATTTCTGCTGCTCAGGAGTTTGAATTGCTTGTGTCAATAACTCCCTTAAGCTCTGGTGATCTGTTCTGAGGATGAAATGAGAACCAAGCAAGTAATGACGCCACTTTTTAATGCCCTCTGTCACTGCATACAGCTCACACACATAAGCAGAAGAGGCTGCCATTCTTGGCCCAAATTTCTTTCTAAAGAAAGATACGGTTTCCCATGCTGCAACAACACTGCCCCAGCCCCCAAATTCGATGCATCCGATTCAACAACAAATGAAGAAGCAAAATCGGGTAGCTGTAACACAAGAGTTGATGATACAACTTCCTTCAATGCTGTGAAAGCTTGCATTGCTGCAGGATTCCAAATCAGTTTCTTATGCTTCAGTAATTCAGCGATTGGATAAGCTATAGATGCATAACCCTTAACAAATCTATGATAATACCCCGTCAATCACAAAAAAGCTCTCAGCTGTTTAATTGATGTAGGTACTGGCCAATCAATCATTGCTGAAATTTTCTTGGGGTCGGCCTTTACACCATTGGTTGTGACTACATGCCCCAAATATGCTATCTCATCCACACCAAATTCACATTTACTCAATTTAACAAAAAATGAGTTTTGCAGTAAACATTGCAATGCAATTTCTAAATGGCTAACATGTTCAGTTAAGGATGAACTATAAATCAAGACATCATAAAAAAAAACCACGATAAACCTGCGCAAATAAGGATGAAAGATTCTATTCATGGCAGCTTGAAAAGTTGCAGGCGCGTTGGTTAGGCCAAAAGGCATCACTATAAACTCATAGTGACCCTCATGAGTTCTAAATGTTGTCTTGTGTATGTCTTCGGGTTGCATCCGTATTTGGTGGTAACCGGAGCGTAAATCAAGCTTGCTGAATATCTTGGCCCCAAATAACTCATCTATTGTGGGGATGGGGAAAGCATCCTTCACTGTCACCGCATTCAAGGCACGATAGTCAATACACATGCACCATGTTTTATCTTGCTTTCTGACTAATAAAACCGGAGAGGAAAAAGCACTATGGCTTTGTTGAATCCAGCCATTCGCAAGCAGGTTCGAAATTTGTCTTTCAATGTCTTCCTTTTGGTGATACGGGTACCTATATGGTTTTATCTTAACCGGTTTGGAATTGTCCACCAAGTTAATAGCATGAGACATCTCTCGAAAAGGAGGTAGTAATTTGGGAATATCAAACACTGGGTGATAAGCAAGCAATACCTTCCACAGCACTTCAGGTAATTTATTTTGTAAAAGGTAAAGATCAGAATTTACCTCTGAGGCCATGTTTGTCCCTTCTACCATGGATAAAGCATTACAATTGGCATCATCGAGCTATACATGCTGCATCTTTTTTTTTTTTTTTTTGTAATAACATGCTGCATCTTTATGTGTGGTCTCACACCTGTCAAAGTAATTAGCTTTTCTCCCCAAGTAAATTCCATCATAGATTCCCCATAATTGTGGGTAACCCTGCCCAAAGTGACTAGCCACTGCATGCCCAAAACCACATTCAAATCGACCAAATCCACCACATAAAGATCAGTAGTTACACAATGACCCTGAATCCAAAATTGGACCTTCATGTTTTTTTGTCACAGAGCAAAAATTCTCCATTGCCCAAGAATACTCGCATCTTGGTAGCCCGCATAATAGGTAATTGGAGCTCCTCGACTAACTGTCTTCTAATGAAACTATGTGAGCTACCCGAATCTACAAGCACTTGAACCTCTTTTCCTTTTACCTCAGCCAACAGAATAAGGGATCTGGTATCCACCTTTCCAGATAAGGAATGCAAGGCAACATCTACTCGAGAGCCCTGAGCATCCTCCTGACCCCATACAATTTCTTCCTCTTGTTCTTCATCCGAATACCCGTCATCGACTATCATCAGAAGCATCTTAGATTTGCAACGATGTTTTGATGTCCATTTCTCATCACACGTATAACAGATGCCTAAGTCCCTTTTCTTTTGTAATTCATCATTTGACAATTTCTTAATTGGTAAAGAAGACTGTGGAGTAGGTAAGGCAAGTGGTGCAGTAGCATTACCTTTCTCTGTCAAGCCCACAGTATATGGTTTCTGAAAAAATTTCTTTGGTTGATTGTTGAATGAAGACCGTAATTCCCCATGATGGCTATCATAGGCAATTACCAATTGCATGGCCTGATGTAACGAGGATGGCCAACGCAGCTGAATTGCTCCTTGCAATTCGGGTTGTAAACCAGCAACAAAATTTTTTTTTAACAAATCATCACTGACATTTGATACCTGAATCATCAGGCGCTGGAATTCAGCCATGTAATTCGCTAGTGATCCAGTTTGCATGAGTTTGGCAAGTACCCCTCAAATATTCTTAATTGGATGGGCCAAAACGCTCACGAACTGCTCGATTAAAGTCTTCCCAAGAATGAATCGTACCTCCGCTGAAAATCCATTGAAACCAATCGGCAGCAACTCCCTCCATTCTCAACCATGCAAGTTCCACCTTCATATGTTCTGGTACCTGTTGAATCTTGAAGAAAGCTCTGTTTTGAATAGCCAAGGATTCGGTTCCTTCCCATCGAATTTGGGAATTTCTGGTTTCACAAATTTCAACATATTCTGAGGATCATCCACGTTCCCACTCTGATGAGGAAAATTTTGCGCCGGTTGCTGATGAAACCCTGGAGGATTTGTCTCCATGGAACATTTGGGTATGTTGGTCAGAACCTCCTTAAAACTACCATGCAATTCTTGCACGCGTGCCTCCATCGCGATCAACAATTGTTCGATACGCAGGTTGTTTTGATTGTTCTGCTCCCGATATTGCTGAAATTCATCTGCAAGATCCTGAATCTTCATGGCTGGAATTCACCAGAATGAAAGCACCAATGATACACTACAAGTAGAGTAACTGAATAACAACACGTAACCAATTTCTTATTTCTCAATCAATGTTGTCCATTACACAATTGTATCTATTTATACTCACATATGCTTTACACGTATTTTCCTACTCAGCTATACTCAACACGTATCGGGTTATTACAAAGCCACTACCCACGTGTGGCACCTATACAATATGACTATATCAAAAACTATTCTTACATCTTCTACTGCATATAGTCTTTAGCCCAAGTTTGATATCCCTTCAATCTGATTCCACGCCTTGGAGCTCCCTTATCCCCTTCCTTCTTCGTATCAGTGGAGTTCATAGCAAATGTACACCAAAGTCCAAAGAGCTGGTCAGATAAAAGTTAATCTCAAAAAACTAAATTATATATAGCAGAATAGTAGATAAAAGTTTTGGATCTCTATGAGAGCAGAATATACCAAAACATTCAAATACAAATATATTTCATGCTCCCTTGCCATGCATTACTCATGCCGGTTTCCGTAACAAATGATTGGAAGGAAACAAACCAAACGGATAAATAACTCGCGAAAAGTAACGTGCCTCTAAGCTACAAAATGGAAAAAAAAATTGTACACAAGTACCACGGAAACCAAAAGTGAACAATTTTTTGTCATATTAAGAATTACTCCCGTGAAATTTTGCTTTCCCTCATGGAAAAAAAATGCAATTTAGAACCCTTATTTGCTTCCATGTTATACCAGATATGTATATTAATAGTAACTCACAAAATTTGCACCTAGCCAATTTCCCTTTTCTCAACCTTCTGGCCTGGAGCTTCCCAGCTGACACAGAATGAGTTTCTTGTGCAAGTTACTTTGCCTCTCCATGACATACAACGCCTTCTATCTGTGAATCATTTCATCAACTTATTGGTCACCATGTTGGATCCAACCGCATCCCTGCGCAAACCTTCCAAGTTTTGCATAGAACAAACATTTCACTGAAACCTTTTTTTTCTGAAATGAATACTCGAGTGCTTACGCATCAAATCTCCTCATTGTATCTTGAAAAGATTCTTCAATTTCACAACCAACCTCTATTCCTCCCTATTAAGATCATCCTATATCAATCAATAATGTAAATTTTAAGAGACAGTTCAACAAAATCCATAAATATTTAAATACACGTTGCTCCTGATGCTTATTATTAATAACTTACCCGATAATTAGTGTTGAGTATATCAATAGATCTCCGTGAAACATGGTTTACAAGTTCATCATCAATCTCAAAATGCCTCCCATACATTTTTTGTTGCTCCTCGGAGTTGCTGCCAACAATCTGTAAACCAAATTGAAACGCAACAGTAAGACTGAAACTAAGAGTGCTCAACAAATATAAAAATGATCCACTTCACCTCTTCACTTTAGTTTCTCTTTCTCAATAACTAAGTCTAAAAATTGACCACATGTAAATTACGTAAATGTACCATGACAGTTTCTCTCATTGTAATAAAACCATTTCCTCAAATATAAAAATGATCCACTTCACCTCTTCACTTTTTTTTCTTTTTCAACATCATTCAAAAACTCAAAGATATAAGCTTTTCCTTCTTCTCCAGAACAAGGGAGGTTTTAAGTCCATAATTCAAATTCCATTTTTCATTGGGCAAACTTGGTGAATTCAGAGATGCTTGTTATAAAGAATCTAGTTTCAGTTCAAGCACATTACCTTAATGGCTACTTTCTGCCCCTTCTTCGCATAATCAACAGGTTTATGGTTGTTCTCAATCGAGGCAATGCGGCCAATATCAATGAACTCTCTGGAAGGAATACAAATAGGAGTCCCAACCTGTCAAGTAGACAATATCAGATGCAAATTTAAGAAAAAACACGACAATTAATTTTTGCGCATTGCACACAACAGACTTCATAACGTGACATGACTCTCGTTGACACCATAGCCCAAAAAAATAAGGTGGATCTTAAATGGTCAGCAACTGGGCTTCGCTGAGACCAATCTGAAAATTAATGATGCACAAAATGTAAAAACACACATAATGGGAGAATCATCAGAACTGAGCAAGCATATATTAAATAAACACAAAAATTTATAATCATAACAATAATGATAATGATAACAAAAAAAAAAAGGTCGACCCAGTTCAAGACCCACTCCGTGAGTGTCTGGGGAAGGGAAATTTGAGTTAAGCCTCACCCCTGCTTTGCGGGGGGCCGAGTCAAACCCCTTACCTGGAACACCACGGTAAGCAAGCTTACCGCTGAGCCAGGCCGGCCCTTCAATAATAATAAAAATAAAAATAATGATAATGACAATAATAATAATAACAATAATGATAATGATGATAATAATAATAATTATAAAATATTATTATTATTATTATTTAAGGGTGATTATTGGATGAAATCTAGTGGTAGGAGCCATTTTGGCAACAAAAAATTCAAGCTCTGGCATTTTCCCATAGGGAATGGATATAAAAGACTCGGCTGATAAATTATGTAGCTTGACGATGAGAGTCAAGCACAATATTTCACTTCTACACTTAATTTTATACAAGTCTATATACAACTCATCCATTTTTTCAAATGTGCCATGACTAAAGACAGACAGTTCTAAGAGTGGAAGATCTTCCCCCAACTTAAAGACTCCATATTGAAATCAATTAATTAGTTTGGAAACAAAACCAAGCTCAAACTAGTGTCTAAAGTCTTCCAGATGTTGATCAACAGACTAAGGCTATTATTGTTTGAGAAGGTGGAAAATGAGGATAAATGTGAGAATGGAGCAGGACAGCAGAATGCAAAGGTTTATTTTCACTAATTGTTGGTTAGACGGATAAAAATTCACTTTAAGCTCACTTTCATACTAAGAACCACAATTTGAGGGGTGGAATGTAAGTAAGTTGCACTCCACTTTCAATCTTCCAACATTTCTGTTGTACCAAGCAAGTGTAAAATGTTTTCATTCCAACATTTTCACCTCCCAATTTTCTAACTAGTAGAACAACTGCAGCCTAAAGTTATACAAGGGACAGAGAAATATGATTGCTAATCCCTTTGTCAAATATGGATCGTAAACAAAAATACAACTGTTGAATTTACTCCAGGCAAAAGCAAAGCACCTTATCTCTAGAAAACTGTTATTCATCATATACATTGCAGCCGTATTAAATTAAAAAATAATACCTTTGCAATGCCTTCAAGTATATCAACTCCCAAAACAATTGGATCCTTATTGTTGAAAATGCAATTCGGTAAGATTTTCAGAACACATGGGAAGACTGCCTCATCAGCAACTTCTCTCTTTTTCTCCTCCTTAATGTTGTCAATATAAGCCTTAAATTGATCAAACAGATGATAAATGATATCAGCGATGAAAATTTTCACACCCAATTCATCTGCAAGTTCTCTAGCCTCAGGAGTGACTTTGACATCAAATGCCAATATAGTAGCATACTCTCGTGTCTTTTCAAGCATTACACTGGCCTTCATTACATCCTTTTTATGTACAGGGCCTATGCTTATACCACTAACAGGAATATTCACTTCAGGAGTTTTCAAAAATTCCAGTAATGCCTCCAAGGAGCCAAGGGTAGATGCCTGTACACAAACACCCTCTCCGCTCCTGTCAATCCTGCTCATGACTGACCGCATATCTTCCATTGTTGCTTCTTTAACATCTTCCAAGTCATCATCAGGGTTCACCACATATAAACCAGTGCCAGCTATAGCATGTTCAAGCCCCTGGAAAAAAAAAGCCACAATAAAACCAAATCTCTACACATTCATAGACATGAGGATTAAGAAAGACATGATTGGATAAAAGCTTGATTAAAAAGAAGTCAGATCAATATCACCGAGAAGTACCTGGGCAGTAATCTTTATACCCATTGCAGCTTTGATTTGTTTGTGATGGAGATAAGTTCCCTGAAATTAGACCACCATCACTTAGTTATTATGACACATACTGAATAAAACACTCCCTCTGCCAGGATGAAATTTATTGATTAAGAATGTATTACAGCAAACAAACTGTTGACGTTTGATATACATGGATGAGAAGTTCATTTATTCAATCCAATAAAATAAAATTTGTCTGGTATAAGAAACAAATAATCCAAGAACCCTCTCCACCAAGTGGGTGTCTCCCAATATTTTATGACCTCTCCCAACTGTTGATTCATATTAGCATAACAATATGAAGTATAAACACATATATTTGCCAGAACACTTCCAAGTTCTAGCTTATGGAAGTCTCAAAATTATTTTAAAAAAAGAGACGGAAGTTACAGAATTTTAAGAACTTGAAGCCCAATAAGCCCTTCAAATACATCCATTTAGTAATTAATACGAGTAATAGTATATGGGTAATCCTTTCATTCACCAACAACAAAGTTGATTTCAAAGCTCTAAACACATTTCTAAAAATAACATGCTCTTTCATAGCCAGAAGCACACCTGCACGCACTCACACACCGGAAGAGTTGTACATAGGCTACAACTATAAGCATGGTTTTCAAACAGAGTTAAAGATCCAAGGGCACAAAAAGCAAGTTAAATCACATGTAAACTCTCTTGTTGTCAAACTTGTACTAGTTTACGAGCTAAACACTCGATTCTACTTGCAAGCCTGGATTTACAGATGGACTTGAGTGCAGAATTAGGGGTATTCATCAACCAATCCAAACCGATTCAAACCGCGATGACCGAATTGAAAAACCGAAAAACCGAATTAACCAAAAACCCGAAAAAAAATGCATATTTTAATTGGATTGGATCGGTTTTCGGTTTGGTTGGTGAAAACCGATCCAATATATTACGTGTTTATTGTTTTTGAAATTCCGCTACTTGTTTTGTAGATATGGAATCTTGGATGTTATTGATAGCAAACTACCTTGTTTTAGTTTTTTTTTGTCTATTATTCTATTTTAACTCCATGAAATTTAAAACTTGTTTTAGTTTGAAGACTTGAATTTTCTAGTAGTTTATAACTTTGTATGGCTTCATTTTAACATAGCTAGTGACTTGTATGGCTGAAATTTTAGACTTTTCGAAAAACCGAAAACCATTCCAATCCAAATTGTAACATCCCCGTCTCGAGCAGGTTCAATTAACATGCATATGATATAAATAGAAACAACGGAAGACTTAACTTACGAAAAATACGAGCTAACTTTTTCTTTTTTTACTTTAATTCTTACTCGGCGTAAACGAAAATCGGGCAGAGTTTCCTTTATAAATCGGACAACTGGGGATTTTCCAATCCCACTCAAAAGCATTTCCTGATAAACAGTTTATACAGCACATCAATCCAGAAGTACCAGTCATGCAGATATAATCAGATACCCATCCATGGGCGCATGCATAACTTGGCTCAGTGCCGCTATATCTAACAGCATGCAATCCAAAACGTAAACATATCTGAATACTACATCATCATATAACGTGCCTGAATACTCAAATGTACATGCATCAAACTGACAGACATGTAAACATATACAGGCCATATACAAAATAAAGGATCAATGTCATGATCCATCAAAGGCGAAAATACAAAATGACATGAATTTACTTCAAAAAAGTAGTAGCCTACATCCACTCAAAATTCGATCCGTCAACTGCCTCAGCCACGTGTCGTGTCCCTGCCTAGTGAGGACTCACCGGGAATCTGCGCACCTGAAAATATGTCCCCAACGAGGGGTGAGATTACATATCTCAATAAGCTCCAGGTTTATAGAGAATTCTCCATACCCCTGGCTCACTCCTGCACAAAAGTCAGATACAGAGTATACAATGCACATATAACAGATATCTTTACTGAACAGAGCATATAACATATATTACAGAGGCGTACGTAGTCGTTTCCAAGGGAGGACCCCAAGCGGAAATCAACGCACGTGTTCCCGAGGGAGGACCCCAAAGCGGAACCAGACATATCAGAGGCGTACACCATCAGTCCCGAGGGAGGACCCCAAAGCGGACATCCGAGTACTATACAATCAATGGCCAGAGATTGTTACAGAAATCATATTACAGAAGTCATATCAGAGCAAAACATATCATGTTATCAAATAACTCTATATGAATGCATTTATACAAAGCATCTAAATAACAGTCATACAGTCCAACCATAGTTCACTAACCATGGTGGAGCACTTAAGCAGGAAAAGACTCCTTAAACATAGAGCTTACCTCTTGAAGCTTTATCAATCCGCTTACTTGTGGCTCAAGTTACTTATATATCTTCAAGAGATTCCAATTCCTTTTTAGTCCCTAGGTACACCTAGAGCAAGGATCCATAAATACAAATTAATAAAATGCCATCATGCCTAGCTTTCACATAAGGCATACATTTTATCGCTTCTTTTCGTTTCTTTACGTTTTTGCTAATGCTATGCCAATACACAAGTCTAGACCTCTTTATAATCGTTGGTGTTCTTTAATTTGATCAAGTATTCCGTTAAGAATTTCCAACATAATCATAGCATTTTACTTTAAAGGACTGTGGGCCTAAAATTAGGAAATCAATATATTTTTCCATGCTTTCTTTTCAAACCATTTCACTTCATGACTTATCATTTTCATACTTTGAAATACACATATTTTATTAAAATAAAATATGACAACATCTTTCCCTAAACATCCTATATGTCGAATCCTTTAAGGGAATTTCCAAAGATCCTTCTCTTTTACAATACATTTTCCTCACTTAATTTAACAACTACACGTACATAAATATATATATATATATATATATATACCAAGTTCCAATTTAATTTTTGGGAATCTCAAGCCCTTTAAATCCTTCAAAGCCGAAACATCAAGGGTATGTTTCAAAGGATTTTCTTTCAAATTTAACATTCTTACTAACTCATCAAATTTCCTCTTATTCAAGCACATTAAACCTTCCCAACACATACAATAAATCTTTGCACATCACCCCTAATTACCCTATCAAGGCCGAAATCTAGGGTATGTCACCATGGGATTTTTTTCCAATTTTTATACATGTTCATATGCTTATTCCACATTCCTATATCCAACACATCATCAATCCATCATCAATTCAAATTTTAAACTAATTTATTTCTCACTCAAAACATGCTCATAAATTTCAAGACATAAATCACAAAAATAAAAGCATAGGATTAGAGGTTTCTCACCTATAGTTGCTATTCCAAGCTCCAAAGAACAAACCCCCAGCTTTGCTCACTCAAAAACTCATTTTTCTTCCTCCAATGAATAGTAACTCGAAAATGGGGGGGAGGAAGAACTCTTCACACACTGAACTATAGCTCAAATTGATAGGTGGAATGGATTCATTGAGTAGTTCCTAATCGATTTCATGTGGTGGGTCTTTGAATTTGGAGAATGGAGGATGAAGAAATCAAAGAAAGAAATTTTGAAACCCTAGCCCTTCTCCTCCATGTGCAGCTCGGCCATCCAAGAGAGAGAAGAAAAAATTCTGAAATGAATAGTGATTCATTTAAGTGACAACGCTATATAGGCACACGTGGCCCTTTTCATCGGATGTTTTTCTATCGCGTATTTTAACTTAAACTGACTCGGAACTCACTTAAGGCTACAAACATATTTTTATTTTTCTAAAATCATTTACATTAATTTTTATTTCCTAAGGAACAATATTCTTAATTTACAGTATGGTTTCTGCACCGTTTTTGACGAAATGCACTGTTAACCACTAACTGTACTTCGTTTACTTCTGAACTTAAAAATTAACTTATCATTTCTTTGGGCCCATATTGACTTGCTTGGCATATATTGGACTTTCTTATTCTTATTTCATCAATTATTTGCTTCTGGACTCTACCAGTTGCTTCAACAGCAGTACAAAATACCCGGTAGAAACACTATTCACGAGATTTTCACGGAAAGTGCCAGACTATACAATTTTTCGTTCTGTACTCATATTTGTTGTCAGAATTGTCAAATTATGTTTCTAAAATCATTTTGCTCATTTAAGCTCTACCGATTAATTCATAAAACTGTAAATTCTCCGGCAGAACGCACTGTTCATAACATAGTCATGATTACAGTCAAAATACTCGAAATCGCTCCATGGATCTAATTATGGAATTTAAATCCTTAAATTAAATCTCTAACTAAGATTTACCAATTATGTCATTATACAAACCGAATAAAATTGGCTTGGATCGGATTTGAAAAAAGAAATACAAACCGAATGGATGATTAAATGATCAAACCAAAGGAATTGGATCAGAAATTTTTCCTTCAAAACCAATCCAATCTAGACCGCGAACACCCTTTAACCTACAACTAGATTTACACATGGATTTGACCTCAGAATGCAGTTGTAAGTGCTGACTAAGTATAATATAAAAGTTTTCACTTTATTACTTTTGTTTACTTTGTTATGGATTTGAACTTTAAACATTAATTATGGATATGATATTATGTTTGGGGTACCGGGATATTTTTTTTAAATAATATTTTTGAAGAGTGAAAACTCTTATGGGAAGAATTTACTAGTCAAGCTTACTAGCTGAGTTAACCTTAACTCTCAAGGTTGGCAACCTTGGCCACAAACTTAGCAACAAGAGACGTGTACTGATAAAACTTGGCCACAAGCTTACGTTGCAGGGTTAGAGCCCTCTAAAAGGGAATGCATATCTTTCCAAGGGTTTGATTTGAGTCATTACTGATAAAATTTATGTTAAGAATCAGTGAATCACCAGTCAATATTTTTCATGTTAAGCATAATGGTCAGAATCTCACAATCCTTTCCCTAGCTTCCAACACTGAAGGGATCACATGCACTCATTTGTGTATGAAATCAACAATAAAGGGGAAGGGGGGGGGATTTTCAACTCATCAAAAAAGAATCTTGTTCATGTGCATACTAGAAAGTTATGTAGCAAAGTTCTAATTTTCCTATCAAGTAACAACTGAAAACCATACCTTAACACGGAGCTCTTTCATTGGATGAGGTGTCAATAAAGCTCGAATTGTGGTAACAATTGGCACCTGTAATAGAAATTTCATCAGTCAGAAGTAGAGGGCAAGTAGTAAGAAATGATGCAGTGCAAGATGCTTGCCTGCATTCCACAGACAACTATTTGATCTCCTTCATGAAGAACACCATTAACTAAAACAACATCAATAGTAGTTCCATGGCCTTCAATAACTTTGACCTCCAAAACAGTACACTGGTAGCCACAATCAAATAACAATTAGGTCCCTAAAGTTAAACGCTTGTAAAGCACTAAACCAATTTGAATATTATGTGGCAATAAAGCTAACCTGCACTTCTTCACCGTATGTAAGTTTCTCAACCATTGTTTTTTGGGTCCACTGAACCATTAGTGTAACATCCCGAGCACTGACGAAGGCGGGGAGTGATCGCCGGTGCAAAGAGGCACGGACAAGGAGCGACTCCTGACATGCTTCCAGCGGGGGTTACATGCATGAATGAATCGAATCGACACCCGAAAGAGAGGGATTCCAAAGGCTGTGCAGGTATAAGGCTACTCAGTTTGGGATAGCTTATAAGAATTAATTGGTACTACCTATGCTAACAAGATGCATCTGCTTTTCGGTAGCCCGGATCGGAAGAACTCCATAGTTAAGCGTGCTTGACTTGGAGCAATTCTAGGATGGGTGACCTCCTGGGAAGTTTTCCCGGGAAGTGTGCGAGTGAGGAAAAACACACTGAAAAGTCTCGTGTTAGTATGTGGGGATAGTCATTGATTCTTGAAGCGGTCAGGCGTTACAAGTGGTATCAGAGCAGGGCCTCTCATCAGTACGGTGTGGTTCGAGGACGAACCAGGCAGAAGCTGGTGGGCATGTAACATCCCGAGCGCTGACGAGGGCGGGGAGTGATCGCCGGTGCAAAGAGGCACGGACAAGGAGCGGCTCCTGACAGGCTTCCAGCGGGGGGTTACATGCATGAATGAATCGAATCGACACCCGAAAGAGAGGGATTCCAAAGACTGTGTAGGTGTGCGACTGCACAGTTTGGTATAGCTTGTAAGAACTAATTGGTACTACCTATACTAACAAGATGCATCTTCTTTTCGGTAGCCCGGAACGGAAGAACTCCATAGTTAAGCGTGCTTGACTTGGAGCAATTCTAGGATGGGTGACCTCCTGGGAAGTTTTCCCGGGAAGTGTGCGAGTGAGGAAAAAGCACACTGAAAAGTCTCGTGTTAGTATGTGAGGATAGTCATTGATTCTTGAAGCGGCCGGGCGTTACAAGTGGTATCAGAGCAGGGCCTCTCATTCAGTACGGTGTGGTTCGAGGACGAACCAGGCGGAAGCTGGTGGGCATGTAACAAAGAGGCAGGGAGTGATCGCCAGTGCAAAGAGGCACAGACAAGGAGCGGCTCCTGACAGGCTTCCAGCGGGGGGTTACATGCATGAACGAATCGAATCGACACCCGAAAGAGAGGGATTCCAATGGCTATGCAGGTATAAGGCTGCACAGTTTGGGATAGCATATAAGAATTAATTGGTACTACCTATTCTAACAAGATGCATCTGATTTTCGATAGCCCGGATTGGAAGAACTCCATAGTTAAGCGTGCTTGACTTGGAGCAATTCTGGGATGGGTGACCTCCTGGGAAGTTTTCCCGGGAAGTGTGTGAGTGAGGAAAAAACACACTGAAAAGTCTCGTGTTAGTATGTGAGGATAGTCATTGATTCTTAAAGCGGTCGAGCGTTACAAATAATAATAACATATCTGGGATTCCTTCACCACTACAACATGAAAGACTCAATATCAATACAACAACACCCATATGAGGAGCATTAAGCAGATTATACAACAGTCTTATGCAACAATAAAAAAGATGGTTTTCGTCCTAAGGCAAAGATTTAACAATCTTCCAGGCATACTAGCACCCAAAATAAATGGAGATGTGCCCCCCACTTTCCACACACACGCCCCTGTCTTCTCCCTAAGTTCCCACCAAATCAACATTTTTTGCATAATTTCAGCGAGAGCTCATAAAGGGTGAACCCATTTTGAAACATCCCAACAAAATGTTTGAAACAGTAAAAGATGCTTTGTAATAATGAAGAAAATGCTGAAAGCAAATGGAACGAAACTCTTCTGAAACCAACAAAACATGTTGACTTAAAATTTGGGCACCTTTAAAATGAAGAGATATTGTATAATATTATCTATATTAACGACAGAACTATTAAAAGTAAGTTTGATGTAACCAGCCATTGTATCAATTAACAATCCAATTTTTTTTTGATTGGTTTCGCACAGACCTTACCGCCAAATTTCTTCTGATTGACATAGGAAGAAAGAAGTTTGATGTAACCACCCCCACATTCTATGTCCTGCTCAAATTTGATAGAATACTGGACCACTAGAGTTCTGTCCTTATTGCTCAATACTGGTATTTTTGCAGATATTGCAAAATGTTTGGAAAAGGGGTTAAGCATACATCATTTTTTTCTCTCTTTCTTTTTCCTGTTCTTTTTTCCCTTTCCATGTACCTGAATTTCCAAAGAATTGTAATCTATGAAGCACTGACACTTCAAAAACTCTTATGTGTCGTGTCCGACACTTCTCGACACTCTCCGACACTCCGATACTCACTCCAACACGCGTTATAGAAATTCAAAAAAAGGTTCAAATGTTGCGTTGCGTTTAGTTTTTAGTTCGAACTATTAGATTCGTTGGATCACAATTACCATTTTATTGAGTTTAATATAAATATTGGGATATCTTATGTTTCTTTGCAAAATTGATGAATATTATATGTTTAGTTTCATTTTTTTGTTAAATTATTGAATATTAAATATAATATACACTACATAAATTCAAAATATTATTTAATATCAAAATGTGTCCTAACGTGTCGAAATGTAACATTTTTTAGAATTATCGTGTCGGAGTATTGTGTCGTGTCGTGTCACGTATCCCGTGTTGGTATCGGTGCTACATAGATTGTAATCCAATATGACATTACATTAACCCTAAACCCTAAGATTCACCAAAATAGAAATTGAGCACTTGAGCGTGAGTTTTAGAGATGATTAGGACACCTTTGTCATCAGGATACCTTTGTTTCGGACCGTGATCGGGTATTTGTGAGTAAGTTTTGGTCTGCCTTATTTAAGTTGACGGGCACAAAGCTGCGATTTAGTTCGGCCTATCATCCCCAAACGGATGGACAAACCGAGGTGGTCAACCGTACCTTGGAAGCTTATTTGCGTTGTTTTACTAATGGGCATCCCAAAGCTTGGGCTAAGTGGTTGTCATGGGCGGAGTTTTGGTTCAACACATCTTATAACCGCTCAATCCAAATGACTCCATTTCGGGCATTATATGGGAGGGATCCACCCACCATCATAGCATTTCCTTCGGCCACTACATCAGTAGCTGCAGTGGAGACTTGGATGCAAGCCCGAGATGCAATTCTGCAGGATCTCAAGGGGAACTTAAGCCAAGCTCAATTGAGAATGAAGGTTCAGGCTGACAAGAAAAGACGTGAGGAGGAATTTACTGTGGGGGATATGGTTTTTTTGAAGATTCAGCCATATAAGTTACGATCTCTGGCCAACCGTGTCAATCAAAAATTAAGTCCAAGATACTATGGACCTTTCCCTATAGTGGAGAAGGTGGGGCCAGTTGCCTACAAGTTAGAGCTGCCTTTATATTCAAAGGTTCACCCGGTTTTTCATGTGTCACAATTAAAGAGGGTTGTTCATCCAAGCTTGACGATCTGGGATCTGCTAAGTTGCTTGTCGGATTCCTTAGAGTTACAGGTGCAGCCAGCAGCATTTCTCCAGTCTCGTAGGACGTTGGATGGTCAATGGGAGGTTCTGGTCCGTTGGGAGGAGCTTCCGGACTGTGACTGTACGTGGGAAGGGGTAGCAGATTTTCAGTCCCAATTTCCTTCTTTTCACCTTGAGGACAAGGTGAATTTTGGAGAGGGGGATGTTGATGGACCTGGGGTTGATGGACCGGTTGGGGTAATTGGGCCTATATCTGTTGATGGGTCGATTGCAACATCGGTTGATGGACCTGTTGAAGTAGTTGGGCCTATGGCTGATCCTGTTAGTAATGGGCAGGGATCTAATGTTAATAGGCAAGGACTGAATGTTGGAAGGGTTGTGCTGAAAGGTCCTCACAGGTTCTTTGATGAGGTGCCCACACGCAAGTCAGTTAGGAGGGCAAAAAGAAGGGTGGCATTATACAAATTGAAGTTAGTTAGGATGATAGACACGTGGGAGGCTGCACATGGGGAGAGCAATGTGTAGTGAGCAAAGAGAGGGATCAGGATATAAGTTGGTTATTTTGGCATGGTAGAGGGTAAGGAGAAATTGGTTAGGGGTAGTGGAGCAATGGTACTGAGCATGAGTGTCTCAGTCATTGCATCAGGAATACCAGTGTTTCTTCCTCAATCGGATATTTCATAGAGGGAGGAGATTTATTTTGTGTCAGTAGTCTCTTATTCAGTGTAATTGAGGAGCTGATCCTTGTGTGATTGCACTGATATAATAGAAGTATTTCTTTATGATACATTGTTCTGTTATGTTTGTTATTTGAAAGGTGTTTGCTGGATCTCATTTACTCGTGCAGGATTCTGGTGCCAACATCCTCCACCTGCACTGACTCCACTTCTTCAACCTTTTCTGGTTCCTCTGGAACCACATCAGTGGTAGCCTCCTTTGCTTCTACACTTTCAGTTGTCTGAACAGCAGCAGCACCATTCTGATTACGATGGGTTGGTTTTGACTTATTTGTCTGATATATGGGTTTTTTTGGCTGGAGCATTGGAGTCCCAGGAAGAGTCACGCCCCCTGTGCTATTGAGAATCTGCCTCCTCATTGCCTCCAAATGACGGGCTTCTTCTTTTTGCTTACCAGTTAACAGTTTACCTTCTTGTTTCTTTTTCTGGAGTTTCTCCTTTTCTCTTTCCTTCTTTCTGCGTCTAGCCTCTTCAGCCTGTCTCTCAAGTTCCTCTTGCCTACTCTGTTCCTCTTCTTCCTTCCTTTATCTCTCCTCCTCTTCTTTTTTCTTCCTTTCTTCAGCCTCTTTTCTTCGAGCCAGTGCCTCCTGCATCTCCATAACATGCTTTGGCACTTTCTTGTCAGTTGCTTTAGTCTTCGACTCATTCTTCTTTGATTCAATCGTCTCATTTTTAATTTCTTCTGTTTCATTTTCTGGTACACTTCCAGCGGCTGCTTGTAACACCCCGTTCTAGAACCGGTTTGTTAACATCGCATTATGATATTAAACGCAGTTACAATCACATTGGTGCAATTAAAACTCGAATTTTTTTTTCTTTTTTTAAAACATGCCGAATTTATAATGCCCAATTGTGTGACCATAACCTTATTACATTGCGGAATAAAATAAATTAAGCTTAACATCATATCATTATTTTGTTCGAGTTCAATACTAAACTCTCTTAATATATTATTAAATTGGAATTTCTATACTTACTTTATAGTTCTCATCTCATACTATGTTATAGATCTCATAGATAGCTTCGCGTGGGTTCAAACCGCGCTCAGATCAGAGATCTGAAGCTCAAGTTATGACTATTTTAGTAAATTGGGTTGGTACTGTCTCGGGATGCGTGCCCGAGCGCTCAAATGGGCGCTCGAGCGCCCACTGCGAAGAATTTTGGTCACCATCAGGTCATTCAGAGCGCTTGGGTGGGTGTCTGCGCGCTTGAGCGCCCAGAGGCAAGGGCTTTCACTCATTTTCATGTATCTAGCGCGCTTGGGCGCCCAAAACAGCGCTTGAGCGCCGAGAGGCAGGGGCTTTCCCTCATTTTTACGTATCTAGCGCGCTTGAGCGTCCAAACCAGCGTTTGAGCGCCCTCCACCTGGGGCAGACTTGGTCTCCCCTGTTTTTGGGTGAATTACTTGGGGAAACTCCATTCCCCATTCATTCTTCAAGGGTTATTACACCTAATTGACAAGGAGAAACCAACCATGGTCACACACCATGTGGCACCTACATTCTATAACTCTTTACCAATACATGAATTCTAATCTTTCAAGGTACTCATACACTAAGAGAAGCATGCATACCATTTCATCATACATATATCTCCATTAATTACAACATGTATTAATTACAAAATCAGGGGACTTAGCTACCAAAAGAACTATGATCAACCCCTTGGCTCTCAACAACAAAAGAGGCACCAAAGGAGGTGAGCATAGGCTAAGTCCATCCAATAAAGCATGATATACGAATGACAATCGGCTTTCAACTATAAGTCTTATACATGGTATTTCTACATCTCATGTATAATCCTAAAAAATGCAACATCTTCATGCATCTACTAATCCAAATATGGCCACTTGCCATTGGAGGCTCGTGCAACATCTTTACCTGAAAAGGGGTCCCCACAACACGGGGTGAAATATACGAATATATCACAGTAAACCAGGGGTCCTTGGAGCATCTCTCCACCCCATAGTTCAATAACAGTGTAATAGCAATAGCAATAATAATGCAATAAATACATATCCATGCAGTGTGTAACAAACATCTCCAGGAGAAATTCCTCGAGCTCTCAAGCTGTCCTAAGGATGCTCAGATGCAAATAGTCCTACTGGCCAGCTAAACTACCAAGTATGATTTACGCATCGTCATGCAACATACCAACATAGGGAAACACCATCATATGCCACACCAAAGCATACACATACGTATAACAAAGCATTAAATTATTTCATTGCATTTATATACACTATCACAACCACTACCCAATCAGGGCTTGGTGGAACAATCAAGGGAATTATATCCAAGGTCTGAAGGCTTACCTCAAGCTTCCAATTCACCCTTTGTTCTTCACCAATCTCAACAATACTCTTCTTCAAAACCAACACCTACACATGGTGTAATGCAATCAACACATTGCATCCAAGAGTATTTCATAATCATCAATCAACTACTCAATTCATACCACAACACAAGTATGAGGTTACCAATTCCAAGGAGCTAATCAAGCTCCATAGCTTACTCCAACGGTTGGTCACTCAAGGTTGGTCCAAATGCCTCAATCCTAGACATCATATGGACACAATCAATATCCAACCAAACCAACCATTTATCACAATTGCAAGAAAACCCACAATCAAGTATATAATCCTACAATTTTCCAAGTGTACACCAAGGACTAACTAAGCTCATTTGCACCGATTAAATGTCATTACTAACATTTTTTACTACATACATTAAGCATTAATCCTCCTAGGACATAGCCATTTAACTCACATTATCATTAAAACCCTAAAATTTCCAACTCAACAAAACCATGAAAGAGAGAAGGGTTTCTTACCACAATCACCACCACAATGGCCCAATGGAGGTGTTCCAACCCACAACCATGGAAAACTTCACTTCAACCTCCACAAATACCTAATTTTCGCCACCTTTAACAAGAGAAATCTCCCTCCACAATGATTCCCACTCAAAACTAAGTTAGGGTTATGAAAGAGGGGAAGATTTGGAGTGGTTTAGGCTTTGGCATCATCCAATTTGGTTGAGGAATGGTGGGTCTTTGGATTTTCCTTCTCCCTTCCTTTCTCTCTTCTTTTCTTCCTCTGTGAGTAGCTCGACGGGAATGGGGGGAAATAATGGGTTCTATTGTTGCTTGGGTCACTTAACATATGTTAAGTGGTTTTAAGCGGGTATCGACTCATCTATCTATTTAACTCCATTAATTACCAAACTTTACCCAAGTGTCTGGAATATTTTTCTAGGAATATTTTCACTTCCATTTTTATATTTTGGGTACTTTTGCCTGCACCCATTAATACCCCTTAATTTTCACTGAGTACACTTTTTACCTCCAAAGTGACTCCAATTCATTTAATTAAGTCTTATACTTAATTTTACTCACTATTACATGCTTAATTATTTAATCACATGTAATTTTATGGTATCAGAGCAGGGCCTCTCTTCCAGTACTGTGTGGTTCGAGGACGAACAAGGCGGAAGCTGGTGGGCATGTAACATCCCGGGCGCTGACGAGGGCGGGGAGTGATCGCCGGTGCGAAAGGGCATGGTGCGAAAGGGCACAAACAAGGAGCGGCTCCTGGCAGGCTTCTAGGGACGGGGGTACATGAATGAATCAAATCAACACCCGAAAGAGAGGGATTCCAGAGACTGTTCTAGTATGGGACGGTGCAGTTGGGAATGACTTATAAGAATTAATTGGTACTACCTATACTAACAAGATGCATCTGCTTTTCGGTAGCCTGGAACGAAAGAACTCCATAGTTAAGCGTGCTTGACTTGGAGCAATTCTGGGATGGGTGACCACCTGGGAAGTTTTTCCGAGAAGTGTGCGAGTGAGGACAAAGCACGCTGAAAAGTCTCGTGTTAGTGTGTGGGGACAGTCGTTGATCCTTGCAAGTTGTCAGGCGTTACACTGCAGCCGCCGCCTACTTCTCTTTTTCCTTTTCCTTATGTAAATACAATTCAATATTTAATTAAATATCCCTTGGGTCTCAAAAGCATGACCCATCCGTTTAGGCTTGTTCTTAATGACAAAGGAGACATTATCATTCATCATACCAAGGAATAACTTGATCTCATGGAAACTTTCACCACATAAAAGAAATGGTGAATGCCCAATTAATGGGCTCCAAAACCAGCCATTGTATCAATTAACAATCCAATTTTATTTTTTTTGGTTTCGCACAGACCTTACCGCCAAATTTCTTCTGATTGACATAGGAAGAAAGAAGTTTGATGTAACCACCCCACATTCTATGTACTGCTCAAATTTGATAGAATACTGGACCACTAGAGTTCTGTCCTTATTGCTCAATACTGGTATTTTTGCAGATATTGCAAAATGTTTGGAAAAGGGGTTAAGCATACATCATTTTTTTCCCTCTTTCTTTTTCCTGTTCTTTTTTCCCTTTCCATGTACCTGAATTTCCAAAGAATTGTAATCTATGAAGCACGACACTTCAAAAACTCTTACGTGTCGTGTCCGACACTTCTCGACACTCCGATACTCCCTGACACTAAATTCAAAAAAAAGTTCAAATGTTGCGTTGCGTTGAGTTTTTAGTTCCAACTATTAGATTTGTTAGATTACAATTACCATTTTATTGAGTTTAATATAAATATTGGGATATCTTATGTTTCTTTGCAAAATTGATGAATATTATATGTTTAGTTTCATTTTTTTATTAAATTATTGAATATTAAATATAATATACACTACATAAATTCAAAATATTATTTAATATCAAACCGTGGCGAAATCTAACATTTTTTAGAATTATCGTGTCGGACTATTGTGTCGTGTCGTGTCACGTATCCTGTATCGGTATCGGTGCTACATAGATTGTAATCCAATGTGACATTGCATTAACCCTAAACCCTAAGATTCACCAAAATAGAAATTGAGCACTTGAGCGTGAGTTTTAGAGATGATTGGGATACCTTTGTCATCAGGATCTCCAGACCATTTTCCTGATGTGTGCTTGAAGGTACCCGCCTTTCCTTCACTCCTTTTCCAATCAGACAAGACCCAACGGCTCTTCCATCCATCTTTTTCATATAAACCATATTAACCGGTTAGAAAACTAGCCTCTGTTGTTGAATCAACTAAACTAACAAAAACCGAAGCAAGTAGAATATGGCAGTACAAGATATCATCAGGAAAACCAAAAATGTAAAACAAAAAATTCAGGACCTGAAGAAATCCCTGATCAGGTCATACATCAAATTCAGAATTCTAAGTTGGCCAGGATCATAAAAACAGATATAACTTTGCTGATACATGAAAAAAGCAACATAAAATCAAAAGGGCCAAAACAAAAATTTCCATTGGCCAATAACACGATCAAGTGAAGGAGACTAGTTAAAGGCAGCAATAAGTTTTGGGAAGTTGTGTTAGGAATAGGAATTACCTTGGAACCTCTCCTCAAAAAAGATCTCAGAGAAGGCAAAATGAAAGAGAAAGAAAGAGTGAAGAATTAGAAAGAAAAGAAAGAGCTTAACAAGTTGAGGAAGCATTAAACTTTACTTCCTTTACTTCACTTCTTCGCTGCCACTAACATACAAACAGCGAACATAATCCACCGCTAAAGTTGCCTTAAAATAACAACGTAAGATTCGCATTATACTTAAATGTTGTTCGGCCATTATTCATTTATTAATCTGGAAATGATTAATATTTTATAGACTCGACAGAAATTAAAAAATGAACAGACTGACCCTAGTATTATTATTTCACTGAAAATTGGATCAGCCTCACAAAATTGGGTTGCTTACATTCTTGTCATCCTTTAATTTGGAGCTTCACAGTATCATCTAATCAAGTTTGTTTTGCAAAATTATGTTTCATTCTTCCAAGGTAGGACTTGTCCTGCATCCAATAACCATCCTTCACTTCGGAAAAGTTTGTACACTTTCTGTCCGTATGAACTGAATGAGCTGAAATTAAACCCTTCATTTATATATTCCTTAACAAGGTCACAATCTTATGTTTCTTTTTCTGCTCTGATGAAACTAGAAGATTGGTACTTTTTTTTTTTTTTTTTTCATTTCATGAAAAATGTCATTCATGGTTGTGCCACGTATTAAGAATTGACAACTGAAATCTGAAATGAGTATGTTTCAGGCTTCATACTTTGGCACCACAAGTTTTTATATCTGCCTTGATAACCATTAGGGGTGTTCGCGGTCTGGATTGAATCGATTTTAGAAACAAAAATCATCCGATCCAATCCCTTCGGTTTGATCATGTAATCATTCATTCGGTTTTGATTTTTTTTCAAATCCGATCCGATCCAATCCAATTTTTTTCGGTTTGGATTGGATCGGTTTTCGGTTTTTTGAAAACCCTAAAATTTATTTCATGATTATTGTGCAAATAACATCTTTTGTATATATTGCCTTTGTAATTTTTTATTTTTTTAAAATATAAAAGCATTAGTAAACTATAATATAAATTTTTTAAGTTTGGCAATGAGATATGAAGCTCTACAAAGATAAAATTTTGTTGATGAGATATGGCTAGATTTTTTCTTGGGTTTAGTTGATGGGTTAATGGGTCTTGGGTTTAGAAATTTTTAGGCTATGATTAGGGAAATACCCAAGTAGGTAGAGGAAAATTAATATATTTGATTGGTTTGAATTAGATCGGTTTTCATCAACCCATCCAAAAACCGATTCAATCCAATTAAAATTTGCGGTTTTTAATCGATTTTCGGTTTTTCAATTTTCGATTTATTCGGTTATCGATTTTTCGGTTCGGTTACCGCGGTTTGAATCGGTTTGGATCGGTTGATGAACACCCCTAATAACCATACGTGCGTATTTGGGGAACTATAAAAGAACCACATTCAGTGCAGGGGATTAGAAAAGAAAATGTCTGCCTATATCTTCCATTGTTTCAATTTGTATAATTTCATCTGAACAATATATAGAAAAATGAAAGAAAGAAAATATCCTCACAAATCATATTTGCCACCTACCCTGACAAATAATTAGTATTCCATCTATACCTCAAATCCCATGTAGGATTTATGTACAAACAGACCAGAGAGAGAGAGAGAAAAATGAATTTTGCTTAGGGGACATAGCTTCTTGGACCACTTTTAGGGACCAAGGTTAGTCCCACTTCGCCCTACTTATGCATCCTTAAGCTAAGCTATGTACTCATTCACCTTTTGGCTTTAATCTGTGTTGTTTGGATTTGAGGTGATGATTGTGACCCTCCACTGAGTGCAGCAGCAGCAGATTCAACGTGTGTAAGAAGATATTCATATATCTTCTTCCTCAATCTGTCAGTTATCTCTGCTGATATCTGGCATGATTCCCCCTCATCCTTGCTTGACCCTATCTCATCTAACCAATCGTTTACACTCTTTAGTTGAGTGAGCATACCTGCTATTTGGCCATTATCTGACAAGATAGTGTCTCCATCAGTGTCCAAGAATCTCTCAACAAATCCCAAAAACCAGTCTCTGGACTGTAATTGCAACATTCCAGTCAAATTAACCACCTCATTGAGGCCATTTCCTCTAACCCACTCTGGAAGCGGTTGGACTAGCTGCTTGTGCCCATTTGCTAACCCATCACCTGGTTTTCGATGAGTTCCTTGTGAGGCATGCCTGGAATTAGCTGTCAGACGCGTTTTTACATGAACTTTTGATGAGGCATCTTCACTTGAATTGTGAAGGACTAACATGGGTTGACTTCCCACTACAGTTTTTTGACTTTGAGAATTACTTGAAGCTGGAAGCTTGGATGATTGAGGTTCTCTTGTAAAAACAGCAAAGGATGACAGATTGGTGGCCAAGGCTGCCTGGACCCAAGAAGCCGCGTGTTTTTGTCTATCTGATTTTACTTTTAGTGCTTCTTCCACTTTGCTCTTTTCATAATCTGGAGATGAACCATCCGGAATGGGTTCAGATAAGGATTCCGCAATCTTCAGGGTACTATTCAGGCTAGCATGAAGAGTTAAAAACCGCTCTACAGCTGGCTGTGGGTTATGTTCCTTAGCAGAATTAGTTAGCTCCGAATACATACTGCCAGAAATGTCACAAAAAAGTGTCAGCTACGGCTTGGTATGTAGCATTGAATTAGAATATTCCAACATAATAGTCTATCAAAATGGGTTAATTACATCTATGAAACCTGAAAACCTGCTGTATGTTCGGCATCTTACCCTGGGTTAAATTACAATGTTCTCAGTAGTACGGTGAAATATATACACGTCTATCAAAATTATCCCTTCAAATCAAACCATAGGCCTATCCTGATTAACATTTAACATGGATTGCATTCACAAACATTGTTCTTCACTTATTATCCAAATATCCCAACAAGGGTCAAGAAATCTGTGTCTTGATTTACACATAATTGTTAGTGGGTAAATTACACATGACCTACATGTCATGTAGAGTTTGTTCACTTTGCCCTACTTTTGATTTAAAAAGTGTCACATTGTCCGCCCGTGGTTTCTCCTTTCTACAAGTCAATTCAAATTACCCACTTCATTTACCCACCTCTTACACTTTTACCATTAAATTGATGGAAATGTGTAATGGAGAAACCACAGGTGTGCAAAAAGAATAACCCCTAAACCACATAAGGGTCATGTATGGCTAAAATTAGCATCATGAATGACAGAGGATAGATAATGTCAGGGAGTGTAAAGAAGATCCAGTTGGACAGTTAAAGTGACGTACAATGTTTTCAATAAAGAGAAATAAAGTTCCAATTTATTTAGCATGTGGTTGCAGCCTTGTAGGAGTGTTGTAAAGCATGGGAGTAAGAACAGGATTAATAAGCTAAGGCCTGTTGTAGGAAAATATTTGGATTGGAGGCTAATCAAATGACAAAGAAAGAGGAAATATTTGGAATGAAATAAGTACAAAGATCCAGGATAAGTCAGGTATTTCCGAGCCTACTTAGTATGAACTACTTGTACTCAAGAACAATGGGTAAGGCCAATGGATTGACTAGATGCTATATTGTTCCAACACATAATTCAAGTGCAAATAGAACGTTCATCAGATCTGGGCTTTAATAAATTGAACAAATATAATAGCAGGAATTTATAATGTCAGTCTATCCAACTGTCTAGGAGCATGTTAAGAGGCACCAAAGAAATGATTCAACATTTAACTGTTAACCAAAAATGACTGGTAATAGATAACAGAAAATGCAACTCCAAACAGGACAAAATGGTGAAGAAAATCTCTATATAGCCTTGCTAATAATAAAGTTTAGGATTTGTGCCATTAACCCAAACGCTTCAAATTCAACATTCTTTCCAGTATTATCTGATGATTACATAGAATATTACAGAAGTGATGGAAAACATAATTCATTGTAAAGTATCAACATTACTCTTTTGGAATGACAGTTTTACTAAATCTTCAGTGAACTGAGTAAAAAGCAATGTTTTGCATATCTTCTAGAGGTGCTTTGCTTCACTAGATGAAAAAATTACTCAAAAGAACATATATCAGTAATATATCTTGGTTAAATCAAGGTTGCAATTTCCAGGAGTGCACAGTTCGCATTCTTGACCATATTAACACTTAAAACCTGATCTAAACATTTCAGCAGTCCAGAAGAATTATTTGTATTTAATTGCCTAAAGTTTTTCTCCTGAATATTCATACCTTAGACATTGCAGCAAACTCTCTGCAGCAGCAGCTTCTTGCATAGCCTCAGTTGCAGCCATCTGTGCCGCATCTCTCTGCTTCATTACTTCCTGTCACAAATGTGAACATAGAATAAGAACGAAACATAACAGTTACAGAATTTCTCATCTGAGCAGAAGGATTCAGTAGACCATATAATCTTGTGAATAATGCATCCAGTGGGTAAGGACATGAGTTGGGAACGCAGACAGAGAATATTTACCCAAGTAAGTGTAATCCAATCATACGATCCAACATTATACTTGTAGCATACTTATTATATATGTAACTATGAATCTAACATATACTCGTTTGAGTCTTTTTAATAAAACTTTTCGGACATTTTTTTATAAGACTCTGCCTTCCTTTTTTCTATTACAATTGTCACTTAGCTATTTATACTTTGACAGCCAAGAATCAAAGAAGTCAAATGTAAAAGTCAAGGAGTTTTCAACGGATATACCCTTCCAAGTTTTGAAATAGATGACGGGAGTGAAGCCCATTGAACACTTGCATCTGTCGCTTTTCTACTATTTAGAGAAACTTTGACCAAGTTTCCAGGGAGTCCGTTGTTAGAAACTTCTGCTGATTTTTTTCCAATGGAAGTTCTTTGCTTACTTGACTTTTCTTGTTCCTCCATAGTTCCATTAGCAGTAGCTTTTTTTATAGACATTTGATTCTTATGTTCTTCTTTAGAGGGTTTAGTTGGTGCTTGGTTCCTGCCCTCCTCTTTAGACGGCAACTTTTCACTTGAAATGCTTCTCCTGGGAGTCTGGTAGACAATAAAATGAAAGGAAGAAAATAATTGTTTGATTGACTCAAAAGATAGAGGCTATGAAGTCCAGGTATCTCAGATTAACAACAACTAAACTACATAGCAGAGTATTCCATATAAAATTTGAAAAGGAAAATAAAAAATGAAGATGCAACCAAATCCAATGAGCCTTGGTGTTTGATATCACGAGTTACTCAAAAGGAGAAATGATGAATCACACTTACTGAGCTACGAACTTCAGGCTTAGGATCAAACTTTGTAGCAGCCCTGATTTTGGAAGACTCTCTAGTCTTGACCTCCAAATTCCCTTCCCAGCTCTTACGCAGAGCCTTAGACCCCATCTCAATGCCCTGCACCAAATTTATGATTGGATTTCCCACTGAAATTTTCTTGGCACCAGGACTAGCCCCACCACGGACAGCCTCTCTTGTCTCCACAACTCCCACCTTAGCAGTGAGCTTGTCCACTCCCTTAGCAGTAATCTTTGCCTGATGCTGCCTGACCCCATTGGCAAATTTTTCAAAAGAACAAGGCAATGAATAGACACTACTCGGGGAAGAAGGAATCGACCGCGAATTGGTAGACTTCAATCGGGATAAAGATTCCTTCTTCACATCAACCTTGAGTGCCGGCTTTCTCGCCTGAGACAGAGATTTACTTCTACCAAAATCAGCACTGGCCTTATCCGATTTTTCTTCCTTGGCAATACCATTTGATCTTGATTTCTTCTCCTTCTCCCCAACAGCAACAGGATGATTGCCAATCACTTTCCTCGGAGACTTTGATCTCTCTATGCCCTTGGCACCAGAAGAAAAAACACTGTTCTTTTTGTTTCCAGCGTTATCAAGAAAGGCAAGTGAATGAGTTGCAACAATGTCTTCAGGGGTTCCAACACAAGGGTGTCTCCCAGGAACAGGCCTGACCCCACGAAGAATGGGGACAGGAGAAGCAGCCTCAAACCGATCAACGAAAACAAACTGACCCAACTGAATCTTGTCGCTGAGAATGAGATCATCATGTTCATCAGGGAGAGAAACATAGGTAGCATGAGAGGAATCTGAGACCTTGAGATAGAAACCTTGATTTGGGAACAGTTCACCACCTGCAAGTGCCGGAACAATGCTCACCACTTGTAACAGTGATGACCTATGCTCCCCACCAACTTTCACATCCGTGTTCATGTGCTGCAGAAGCTTCAGAAGCACCCCAGGAACCAGATTCGCCATTTTTTCCAGCAGGCATCACTCTCCCAATACCCCAAAGGAAATATATTATATAGGTACAAAGAAAAGAAGCGTTTTTTTTTTTTTTTTCCTTCTTCTCAATGGAAAACCCAGGTGAAATTTCTCTTAACAAATAAGGCAAAAATCATAGGTTATCCCAAAAGGAGAGAAATCTTCAATTTCATAAATACTCAGATTTAGAAAAGCCAGTAAAGGAAGAAATTTTAAAATTAAGAACAAAAACAACAAATAAGGAAGTAATCAATCAGGTATATTATTAATATCAAATAACCAAAACAGCAAAATAAGATAATTTCCCAATCTCAGCACTGAGAGATTTTTATAATCCGGTTTTTCAGTGGGTGGTAGTGGTACAGCTAGGATTTGAGAAAGGAAGGAGAACCCAACAACCTAAAAACACAAGTGTAACAATCATAGAAGCTCTTGCATTTTTTATGCAAATTCCAGAAAGGGAAAAATGAATAAACTCCCTTGGAAAATAGAAATGATTTGGGGTTGGTTTGTACTTTGCAATAAGATAGTGTGTATACAAAAAGAAGTGAAATTTAGAATGGATGAAACTCAATTCACTTTTAGAACCAAGTCCTTTCACTGTTGCCCATTTTCTCCGTGGACTTGGGAAGGTGCTGAAAAGTTTACAGGTTTATAATTGACGCCAATCTTATTGCATGATTGATACGCAAAGAGCTGTTTTGTGTCATACAAACACATGCAGTGCACTTCAATTTCATATACAATATGAGGAACCTGACCCAGAGAGAATTGTGGGGCTGTTGAATCGTGTGAATTAGAAGAAGAGTGTGTGAGACAAATTCAATTCTAAGAAGGACAAAAGGACATGCTCTGAGAAGGCTAAAAATATAATGGATAGGATATTGTCACAATCAAGTTTTATTATCATATCTTAATCATTGATTTTTGTCAATCAATTATTTTTCAAATTAAACTCATTAATTAATTGTTAATTCGCAATAAATGATAACCGTTGATTGGCGGAAATCAATAGTTAAGATGTGATAGTAACATTATTTGATTATCAGAGTATCCTATTCCAAAAATATAATTCTATTTTTATCATGTTTACTAATTCTACGGGGAAAAGAAAAAGAAAAAAAAAATTCGGAACATTTTGATTTTTATAATGTAGAATGATTAAATGGGTGCATGTGCGAGGTAATGTTGGTGTTAGGACCAAGGTAATGGTGTGTCGGCTGCCATGAAAAAATGAGTCACATCATCATCATATTATAGTGTGAAAGAAATGTGTCCTTTATCCAATGGCTAATAATAATAAATAATGAATTTTTCTTCTTTCTTTTTTTCCGGCTCTGGTTTGTTCATTGGTTGTAGCGGATAAAGACTTAGGAGTAGGAATGCCGTGACCAGGTTGAGTTGCCCTGTTGGGATATAATAATAACCTAATAAAAAAAGAGCATTTCAATTTATTCTATAAAATTTGGATTGTGCCTAATTTTCATTTTCATTCAGCTATCAAGATTCCAGATGTATAAATTAGGATAATTATTAGCTAATTGTTTAACTTGTTAACAAAATTTGGATTAAATAAATTACTAACTTTATTATCGAAAATATTTGCATAGTTAATAAATTAATAAGGTTAAATTATCATAAAAGTAACATAATTCAGGAATACGTATTCTAATATGTCTTATGTTAATGTAGTTTTATTATTGAAAATATCTTAATCATTTATTCATAAATTAACTGCAATTAAAATCACATTATATTCAATAATTAACTCAATAATAACAATTAATTAAAGGGATTAATGTTTCTTATGTTGTAGGATGTAATTTTATCTCTTACACACACGTAAAAATATATGAGATTCATATTTTTTTTTCTCTCTCTTCTTTTTACATGGGCTTTACACACTTTTATGTGTGCATAGGAGATAAAAATAAAAGTTTGTCTACCACTCTCACAAATAAAGTAGTGGGTCCCAAAAAAAGGAATGGATCCCATGCAATAGAGTTTGTTTAAAAAAATTTGCTTATATACTTCTGGGAGTACATTATATGTGGTAGATAAAAAAAAATTCAACAACTGCAAAAATATATTTTTTAATTAAATATCGAAATATAAAAGAATGTAATAAAATATTAAAATAATAAAGGTAAAGAAACCGTTTTTAATATAGGGAAACATGAATGTATTTAGATTCTCTCATGTAGAAAAGTGATCATATAATCACGTTATTTAATCACAATCACACATTGATGATGAGATAAGAAAGAGAAAAATGTATGATTTTTAAATGAACGATTGTGATTAAATAACATGACCATTTTTTCACATGAGAGGATTCAAATCCAACATGAATATGATTTGGATCCTCTCATATAGAAAAACGGTAATGTGATCATGTTATTTAATCACAATCACTCATTGATGATGAGATAAGAGAGAAAAAAATGTATGATTTTTAAATGAATGATTGTGATCAAATAACATGATCACATGTCTATTTTTTCACATGAGAGGATCCAAATTCATCTCATGAAACATGAAAAACAATATTCCCTTTAAGTAAAATTTAAGGGGGTGTTTGGTAGGAATTTTTTTTTGAGATTTCCGGAAAAGTGATAATGGTAATTCTATTTTCCCGCATTTGATACAAGGTTTTTTAAAAATTTTCCGCGAATCTATTTATCCTAGGATTTTATTTTGTGTATAATTTAATTCCAAAATATTATCCAAAAATATCACCAAAGAAGTGGTATTCTTGAAATCCTAGGTATTGGAAAAAATTTACATTTTTTTTGCAACAAAATCGCAGTAATATTTTGGCTTACTAAATAGTTTTTTGGTAACATTTCTGGAAAAATGACTTTCCCACCATATTTCTAAAAATTATGATTTTCAAGTGGCAAAAAAATTAATTTATTATTTTTTAAATAAAAATTACGAATTTATGGCTGTTTTCAAAATAATTACACATTTATTGCACAATATCACACCTAATTTGGGCATCACTCTTAGGCGTCACTCGTCTAGTGTTGACACGTGTCACAAAAAATTAACAATTTAATCGTAAAACTTCTGAAGGCCATAACTTTTGACTCGGATATCCGAATCAAGTAATTTTTTTTTTTATTCCACATAACTTTTCGAGATCTACGTAATAACACCTCATTTGACATATTTTATCTCTCAAAAACACAATTTGAATTTCTAACAATGAGACTTTATCTTACTAAGTCGTGGTTTGAAATTAATGATGGTACCAAAATGGATTAGTCCATCTATAAATAAGAATATTTAGGGGATGTATTGGATTAGGATTTTGAAATACTTTTTTGTGATAAATTTTTTTATAGATTTTAGAATACTATTTAGAATTGGATGGACTATAAAGGCTTTTTTAAAAGATATTTTTTACAATCAAGATTTCATAATATTGGATTTTAAAGAATTTTAATAGAATTTATAATATTTAAAGGACAATATGGATATATAAGATTTTAAACAACCATATGAATTTTTAACAAACATTCAAAATTACAATAGTCAATAAAAAAATAACAAAGAAATGCAATGATATTAAGAAAAAAAGTAAAACCTAATATAATTTTCTCAATCAATAAAATACAATATAATTTTTAACAAACATTCAAAATTACTTAGTAACAACTCTTCACATATCTAAAATTATATTAGTCCTCCATGCATTAGCATTTTCTCGTTCATGCTCTTGGGTTTGACCAATGAGTTAAAAATTATTTTCTTCATTTGGTATCAGAGCTATGCATATATGATTATAAGATCCAATCTTTATTTATTTATTAAAATAATTCTAAGTTTACATATAGAACCTAAAGTTCATGATAAAATTTCGTTTAGAGTATTCGTTAAATTGTTTTGGGACTTTTGAAAAATAATTTTGTAGTTAATTTCATATTTGATAATCCAATTTGATGCCATCATTAATTTCAGACCACGACTTCTAAGATAAAGGTTAATTGTTGCAAATTCAAATTGTGTTTGTGAGAGATAAAATATGTCAAATGAGGTGTCATTGCGTAGATCTCAAAAAATTATGTGGAATCAAAAAAAATATCTGATTCGGATACCCAAGTCAAAAGTTATGGTCTTCACAAGTTTTACGATTAAATTGTTAATTTTTTGTGCCATGTATTAACTCAGATGAGTGATATCTAAATTAGGCATGACTACCTCTTGGGTGACGCCTAACTTAGGCATGACTAGTGACGCCAAATCAGAGCGTGACACACTACTATATACCTGTAAATATTTCCAAAACAGCTATAAATTTGTAATTTTTTATTTAAAATGTAATATATAATATTTTTGCCATTTTCGAACATAAAAAAATTTATCATATAACAAACGCCTAGTAATTATATTCAACATTGATTCTGTGTATCATATCTATGATGCACGGACACGGACACGACACGACACGCCGACACGCTAATTCTAAAAATGTCATATTTCGACACGTTGGAACACGTTTTGATATTAAATAAAATTTTTAATATATATAATATGATTTATATTTAATACATATAAGAGTTCATAATAAGTCATATAACCAATCAAATATTTAAATTTCATAACATAAATATAAATATAAATAATTTTTCGTATTTTGTTAATTTTTAATGTCAAATTTCATAACAGAAAAAAATTGATTTATAAATTTTTTTTTTATATTTAGTTAACAAAATAAAATTAAAATTTAAAAAAACAAAAAAAATGTGTTCTAGCGTGTCCCCAAATGTTGACTGCGTGTCGGAACGTGTCGGAAAGTTGACCGCATGTCTCTAAATGTTGATCGCGTGTCCGAGCGTGTCCGTGTCGAACACATATCCGACACGTAAATTTTGAAAATTTTAACGAGTACGTGCAACGGAGTATCATATATACCAAAGTATAGATTACAAATGAAATGATCATTTAATTATACTCTACGTATTATAGCAAACTGTAAATTACGGATGATAATTTTACTGTATCCTATTTTAATTTTGTTTTATTCTATGGAATCAATTCCTATAACACGTGGGGGGGGGGGGGGGGGGGGGAACTATATATATGATTCCATAGTTTAGCAAAACACAAAATTATGTAAGCATAAAGCATGATATGTCAAGCCTTGCTTCAGAGCTACTTCAATTGTTATACTTTTTCAACTTGCTCCCTTGCCGTATCCCATAATATATAGGTGGATTTTAAGTTGGGGTCCCTTTGTTTTTATCATATTGTATTATTTTTACCTGGTTGGCTGTTGTTCTGACATGTATATTCGTATTTACATCTATATTGGCTTCCCCTGTTGGTCTTCCTTAGTTTATCATTAATATAATGGACATTACATACCAAAAAATAAGTGCTGTTGCGTGCGTAATGTATATTACATATGCAGAAAATTAGTGCTGTTGCGTGGCCAACATGCACTCGTATAACAAATATAATATTATGTTATCAGCAGCCACTTCTCTTTTATTTTTCATTTCTCTTGCCAAAGCACAATTACAACTACGGTCAACCAAAAAATTAATTAGCACCACTTCAACTCCCAACATCATTAGCATTGGCAATAATCTGTTAGAAATTTTTATAGGTAGGTAATATTAATTAATATTTTTATATTTTCTAAAATGGATATTTTAATTTAATTTGTTATGATAAGCTTATTATGATCATATTAAGTTGAGTTTTTGACATCTATCGGAATCAGGTTTAGTTGGACAACACAATGTAGGCATTGATATTTGATTAGACTTTTATGATAGGTGGATCCTCAGACACATTGTTGATTA